ATCTATCACTGAATAAATTAGAGCAAGCAGTGTGTATGGAGTCTAACAAGCTCACAACAAATATGTTTGTTAGAGAGAACAACATCATTGTGGGATAAGTAGAAAGTTTGTATTGGCCTATATAGTACCAACAAGTATTATTTACTGCAAAAATGAACCCAGAGATTCATAGAATGATTGTTTTCTGAATCATGTAGCGAATATACTTAGCCTAAAACCATAACATGCATTTAATTTCACAGTTGTGGGTAATTATTAGGTTATCTCTGAAAACTAGTAGTTCGGTGCCATATCAGCTATTTGCTTATATTATTAGAGATTTATTTTCTTGTGTCAGTGTTGGTTGATATTAGATATGTAGCTGTGCATGCTTATTTCACTTAATTTTAAATTTAAATAGTCTGTGCTGTCATCTAAGCCTTACCTTTAAAGGGGCCATATGATGCTATTTTAAAGATCATTATTTTGTGTATTTGGTGTAACAGAATATGTTGACATGCTTTAATGTTCAAAAAACACATTATTTTTCAAATACTGTACATTATTGTAGGTCCTCTATGCCCCGCCTCTCTCAAACACGTCGTTTTCAACAAAGCCCCCTCCTTTGACAAGCGCAGTCTGCTCTGATTAGCCAGCTGATCCAGCTTTAAAAAACCTATATCTATTAAATGTGACTTTTATCTAATTTTAAATTCAATATCCATTTTATACTGTTCATGTCTCACAGTGTTTTTAGTCTTATTTATTATTATTATTATTATTATTTTAGATTTTTAGGATTTTTAGATTTATTAAATAGAATAAATTGTATCCATTTCAAATTATCGGTTTATTAGTGTCAGACAAATTTTTATCTTTGGTGTGTGCCTTCATTTAACAGTATTGGAAATGGTCAAGCAATAGGCTGTTGTACATCTAGGGCTAAGCTATATGTCATATAATAAAAAAGAAATTTCAAACAGAGAAATGGGATACTTCACCAGTTCACCTGCCACAACTCACCAGGAATCATAACTTGAGCACCTGCTCTTATTTGTTGTGGTTTAGCTACCTGATTATTTAATTTAATTTGGTTTCACTTTTCACTCTACTATTTTTAATCAGACTCTCCTAGAATATTTATATTTCATTGAGTGTGTACTTCAGATTATCAGGGCTCTATTCTGCTTGTGCTAGATAATTGGAGAATGTTAAGCAACAGTTGTCTGATGTAGCTTCTTTGAGATGTCATTTTGAGTACTTGTGGATTTGGAATGGTAACAGGAGGCGTTCTCACCCGCCGCGTTTTGGGATGCCATTTTGTTTATTGTTTTTGTTGTGTACGAGGTTAATTCATGCACACTATCCTGAAGGGGAGGCAATATTTTTTGTCTGTCTGTCAAATTGTGGTTACGGCTGGCAGATGACTTGGAAAATATCCATATAAATGGCTCTGTTGTCACAGTGCTCTGATGACAGAGAGCGAGTAATCTGAGTGTGTTTTAGTTAAAATATGAGATAAAATCATGATGTGCTCTGATTAATGGTTCTCTGCGGCACTGTTTCGAAGGAACCTGTTGAACAGCAAAATGCATACCATGAAATTTCAAAGCAACAATTATTATCAGATATTATCAGATATTATCAGACCCATTAAGCTTGACATGAAATGTTTCATATGTGCACCTCAGGCGATTAATATGTGGCCATGATATAAAGATGGGTTTTTATGAGCATTTTGTATTTGATATATTGCGCATTTAACGTTAAAGGACATGCTATATTATTTGTTGATTTATGTCAGCAGCGTGTGAAACTGCAGAGGTGTGTATGTGTTTAGAAAGGAAAGTGAAAATGAAGGGAAAGAAAGGTGATGAGGTTCTCGCAGCGCTCTATGGGGTTCCAACATCAGACAAACAAGAAGGTGACGGACACTGATTTACTGCCCTAGTTACTGCTCACGCTTGCCTCTCACGCTTGCCTTCAGCATCTGGGTGCATGTTTAAATGTAGAGGTCATTTGCTTAGATTCTGATTAGTTAAACATCCCATTGATGTGGTATTTCCGAACAAGTAATTCCATGTTAATGGCTGTCATTTGCTCAGCTGTATAGACTCTCACTTGCTATATTGATGTGCATCAAACATCACCACATATTTGAGTACTATTGTGATGTAGTAGTGCTTTGTAATCCAGTCTGCTTTTTTTGTTGTTATACTTTTTTTCCTATTCTTTG